GCCCTGCCGCGGACTGACGCTGCCAAAGGGGGAGTGAACCCCAAAAGGGGGAACTCGTGGTATAAAAGAGCGTGGGCTCTGCTCAGTGGCAATGACTGCCTGGGTTATAACCGATGCCAATTGAGACTGCAAAAGACGGCGCTACCACGCTATGGCGGGAGGGGACGGTGAACCACGCGCCCGGCACCCGCTTTCCAACCGTAAACACGGATCCTTCTAAAACAACTCCAAAAAAAGAGAAAGGAAAACGCAGCTAAAAAAGAACCGTCCTGCCCCTGGGGGCGAGAGCCAGACCCGAACCGAGCCGTGCCGCGGCGCACACAGCCTGCCCGCTGTCAGCGGCTCAGAGGCGGCGCTGGTAGCCCGAATGGACGCGTGCGGCGGGCAGGTAATCGCCGTAAGTGCCCGAGTACCGGGCGTAATCGGGGTGCGCTTCCGTGAGGCGGCGGTAATCCAGCGGGGACTTTGTTGGTGAGCGGCGGTACGCGAGCGGCGAGTCTGCTAAGCGCCGGTAATCTGAGAGGTCAGAGAGACGGCGCTCGGAGCCGTACCTGCTCAAGAGAAGAGACACGTGGTGAAGGAAGGGCAAAGCGCCCAAATCCACCACCAGCGGCCATCGCGTCCCGCACAGGGACACGCCGCAGCAGCGCAACACCGCCAGGCTGGCACTGGACGCAGATCAGACGCTGCAGGAAGCCCCACCGCCGGCTCGACCGCCCCAGGCGAAGCCCCATCCCCACCACCCTGGCACACAGCACCCACCCTTCCACACGCTGGAGCTGACACTAAGCCCCTAGCTGGGCACTGGCACCCACCGGGGTGGCACAGACCACACTGCATGGCCACCTGGTGCCTGGCCCGGCGCCGTACCTTTTAGCCATAGCGGAGGATTTTTTGTATGGGTCGTCGTAGGCGGCGCTGCGAGGTGGAGAGAGGCGGGTGCGCTCGTATGGCGGTGCGATGGCGGCCTGTGACAGGCCCAGGTAGGAGGCCGCGGGCTGCCCCAGCTGGCTCGGCCCGTCGTAGGCACTGCCCGGTTGGGCTCGGTAGGCAGCCGCCAGTGAGGCGGAGGAGGGCTGCTGCGCCGGGTAGGACGCCGCCATCGAGCCAGAGGGCTGCGGCCGGTACGCAGCCGTCAGTGGGGCCGACGCCTGCGCCTTGTAGGAGGCGTTGATGGCCTGGCTGCCATAAGCTGCCAGCGAGGAGCCCGCCTGGGCGCCGTAGGTGGCCGAGAGCGCGGTGACAGCAGACTGGCTGCCGTAGGAGGAGGGCAGGTTGGCGGTGGGCTGGGCACCATAGGCAGCAGAGTGACTGGCAACAGGCTGAGCACCATAGGGGGCCGAGAGTGCAGGTGCTGGCTGGGCGCCATACGAGACTGAGTGGCCGGGCACAGGCTGGTAAGCAGCAGCAGCATGACTGGCCACCGCCTGGGCACCGTAGGAGGTGATGTGTGTGGCCACGGCCTGCACGCCATAGGACGCAGAGAGCGTGGCACCAGGCTGTGCACCGTAGGCAGCAGCGTGGCCGTCTATGGGCTGCGCGCCGTAGCCAGCAGCAGGCTGGGTGCTGTAGGAGGCCACATGCGTGGCCACAGCCTGGACACCATAGGAGGCAGTGGGACCAGCAGCTGCTGGGGCACCGTAGGCAACAGCGGTGGCAGCCTGGGCGCTGTAGGAAGTGGGGTAGGCGGAGGCAGCCTGCGCCCCGTAGGAGGAGACAATGGTGGCGGACTGGACACCGTAGCCAGAGAGCTGGGAGGCGGCAGGCTGCGCGCCATAGGAGGCAGGGGCTTGGGCACCGTAGGAGCCAAGGGAGTTGGCGGTGGGCTGCGCACCAGAGGCACCGAGGGAGATGGAGGGCTGGGAGCGGTACGTAGCCCCCAGCGAGGCAGAGGGCTGGGTGCGGTAGGAAGCAGCCTGGCCGGTGGTGGGCTGCGGGCGATAGGCCACGCCGAGGGAGGCCGAGGGCTGGGCGCGGTACGTAGCCCCCAAGGAGGCCGAGGGCTGGGCGCGGTAAGTCGCAGGCTGTGCTGTCATGGGGAGCGTCACTGCCGCGTAGCCGGCGCGGGTCGGGGAGCGCCGGAGTGGGCTGCGATCTCTCCCAAAGTAAGAGGGGGAGACGGGCCTGGCCTGCGCCTCGAAAGCCTCGTACTTGCCGGCGCCGCCAGTGCCGAAGCGCTGCTGGTAATCGTACAGGGAGGAGGCGGCAGCGTAGCCGGCATTTGCGGCTGAGGGGAAGGCAGCGTCGGCCACCCGGCGCTGCTGGTCGAAGCCCTCGATCTTGGGCTGGAACTTCTCTCGGTATTCCAGGCCGATCCTCTTGGTCTTGTCCAGGCCGAGGGTGGGCGGCAGGGCCTGGCCTGCGCCCTTCTTCTGGACGTTGGTGGAGAGTTCCACGTTCACTCTGCGCCCCTTCACCTCCTTCCCGTTAAGGTTTTCGATGGCAACCTTTGCATCTGCTTCGTTCTCCATGTGAACAAATGCATAGTCTGATAAAGCAGCAGACAGAGGATTATCAGTGAGGGGGGGAGAAAAGACAATTTGTTACAGGGTTGAATGCTTAAGGAGCCTCATGGGGGCCATGGTGGCTCAGCAGCAGCAGGACAGGCACTGGGACGGGTTCCTCCAGCCCTGCTCTACTGCTCAGGCAGCAGAGACAGGACCACCTTCATTCGCTTCCACCCCACAATGGATCTGGGCACAGCCTAACACACCCAGCCTCCTGCTCAGTGGCCCCTGAACACCCCGGCACAGCTCTGGTTTGCTCTATTTCTCCCCGTTTTCACCTGCACCCCCACAGCTCAGCACCCTGCCCTGTGGCACCACAGCTCCTCCCTACCCATCTTCAACACATGGGCACCAAGCGCCCCGGGGGCCCGGCCAGGCAGTCCTGGCAGGAAGTGGAGCAAAGCCAGAGGAGGCCCCTGCCCACCGAGAGACATCAAGTCTCTGGCAGGAGAAAGAAAGTGGGAGAAGAGAGGCCAGGGAGGAGAGGCAGGGGATGAAGGAGAGGGAAGCACCCGAGCACAGCCTGCAGCACTGCACCCCGGGGCGAGCAGCACAACACGGCCTGGAAGCACAGAGTTGGTGAAAGGAGATGGAGAGCGAGGCAGGAGGGGGAGAAGCGGGACCCGGAGCGGCTGTGCCAGGTCTGCGGCGGTACAGCGCATCCCCCTCTGCCTGTCCCCTGGCACAGCTCTCACCACTGCACCGGGCCCACACCGGGCCCACGGGGTTCGGGCTCAGACGCCACCACAGCAGCCGGGGGGGTGTCCCTGTGGCACGACGGGTCCGGGAGGCCGGCACGGGGCTGAAGGGCATTCCTCCTGCAGCCATGGGCCAGGGGTCACCGTAACCGGTACCGCCGGTGACAGCGTATGGCCAGAAGGCTGCCGTATGGCTCAGCCAGGGCAGCCCAACCATGGGAGCGCAGCAAACCCCATCCCGGTACCTCAGACTCTGGCTAAACATCAGCACCGCTTCCCTTACCCCCTACACGACCCCCTCTGCTCCTCTTTGTCATCCCACCCCTTCCTGGCTCCCATCCCACATCCGGCAGCATCAGGAGGGGGACGTCTTCTCCCTGCACCCCCAACCCTCTCTGGTGAAACCCCACGAATCAGCCCCTGGCCAAGGGATTGCCAGAAGCTGCTGGCCCCAGTTTAGGGCAGTTTCTGATGGGCTCCGTTGGGAAGCTGTGACCTGGGACGAAAGAGCAAAGGCAACAACATCACCTCCCGCGAGGAGGAGCCGGCGGGGACAGGGCCCGGGGGGTGCCTCTGTGCCACGGGGCTGACACCGTCCCCCGGAGCACTCGGTGCTCGGGGGTCCCGGACCCGCGGTTTCACAGCGTGTTCCCTCTGTGCTTTGGCTCTGCCACCTCTGCGGATGGGAGCGCGACTGCTCCACGTGGGAGCGTGTTTGTGGAGGTGAAGCTGCGCTGGGAACAGCCGTGGAGGCGGCAGCGGGCAGGGGGTTAACCCCGCCTGGGAGGCGATGATGGAGGCCGCGGCCTGGCTGGAGCGAGCGCACCGGGGGCGGGGAGGGGGTGTGGGTTTAATGGGGCAGGGATCGGACGTGAGCAGCCCACAAGGGCTCGCCCGGCTCCGGCTGGGGCCGGGGGGTCGGCAGGAGGCCCCCGCCCCCTGCTCCGTGCGTGGCGCCGTCGCCAGATTGGGGAGGGGGCAGACGGAACACGGGTCACCCGAGCCGAGAGCGGGGCCGGAGCGGCTCCGAGCACGGAGGAGAGCGGCGAGCTAGCGGCGAGGGCTGCCCCAGGGGGGGCGAACGGGGCTGGAGCTGTGCGGAGCCCCGTCCGCGGCGGCGGGTCCGGTACCTTTCACCACGTCGCACTCGACCACGGTGCCGTACTGCTGGAAGAGCGAGCGCAGCTCGCCGCTGGTGCAGGCGGCAGACACGTTCCCCACGAAGATCTTGCAGGTGTTGGTGGGCCGGGGCCGGGAGGGCTCCACCACGATGCGGCGGCCGTGAAGTTGGTGCCCGTTGAGCTGGGAGATGGCGCGGGCCGCTGCCGCCTCATCACGGAGGTGCACGAACGCGAACTGCTTCATGAGGGCTATGCCGAGCACCGGCCCGGCCGTGCCGGCGAACAGCTCGCTCAGCTCCTCCGCCGTCGCCTCCTCGGGGACGTTGCCCACGAAGAGCTTCACGCCGGGGCGCATGGCGGCGGCGGCCGAGGGGAGGGAAGCGGAACGGAACCGAGCGGCGGCCGCACAAAATGGCGACGTCTCCTCAGCGCCGAGCGGGACGCGCCAACGAACACTGCCCCTGCGCAGCGGCTGCGCGCCTTCAGCACTGCGCATGCGCAACAATCACCCCCCCCCACCTGCCTGCCCCGCCCTCCTGCACAATGCCCCATAAGCCACGCCCCCGGGACCCCTCTTTGCTTTGGCCACGCCCCCTCTTAAAGGGGCCGCGGGATGCGCAGCGCCGAAAGCCGCGGGGACGAGCAGCCCCGGCCCCCCAACAAGCCACGGGGGCTGCAGAGCCAGTGAGCGTTTATTGATGGCCCGGGGCCGCTCCTAGAGGTGGGGGGCCGGGGCCGCTGTGGGGCTGGGAGCGGCCGTGGGGCTGGGGGCTGCTGTGGGGCTGGGGGCTGCTGTGGGGCTGGAGGCTCCTGTGGTCCGGTCCCGCTCCTCCCAGAGGGTGACGCCGTCGCAGGAGCAGACCCGCTTGGGGTTCTGGAAGAGCCCGGCTGCGCGGGCCACGACGCCGCAGGCCAGCCTGGGTGGGGGGGAAATGGGGGTCACGGGAGGTGAGCGCGTGAGCAGCTTCCCCTGACACCCCCCCCCCCCCAAGTGACCCCAAAGCACTTACCCCGGCCCCGAGTTCCCTGTCACCCGGGAGAGCGGGTGGGAGCCTCGGCCCAGGTCATCCTCACCCGCATCCACCACCACGGAGCGCCCGATGATGTCCCAGACCTGGCAGGACCCCCCAGAGCCGTAGGGATGGGGCTGGACCTCTCCCCACAGCTATGGGGCACAGCCCAACACCCCCCCCAGCCATAGAACTGGGGTCAGATACCCCCACAGCCATGTGGTGCAGTCTGGACCCCCACCATGGCCGTGGGTCCCCGCCTCACCTTCAGACGTGAATCCTCCATGCGGAAGCAGGCTCTGCCCTCAGCATCAGCCCAGATGTTCCCCAGGTCCCCGACGTGCTGCAGTGGGGTGAGGGGCTGTATTAGGGGGGCTCAGGGGGTGTCCAGGAGCCCCCCCCACAACCCCACGGCCGCTGACTCACCCGGTGCTGGTCCTGGGGTCCCCCATGGTGCTCCCCATCGGGGTTAAAGTGTTCCCCACAGCTGCAAAGAGGGGAGACACGGGGTGAGCCCTGGGTGCCAGCACCCCCACACCGGGGGGGGTTCCCGTGTGCCCCCCAGCCGCTGCCGTACCTGTCACAGGGCTGCGAGAGGTCCCCGAATTCATGGACGTGGAGCCCGTGGGGGCCCGGGGGGAGCCCATCGACGGCTCCGTCCACCAGGCACCGCGTGGGGGAGACCTGCAGGAACCGCACCAGACCCCGCACGGCGCCGGGGCCGGAGAGCGCGGCCACCGCCGCCCCCAGGCTCCCTGCGGGGGGGGGAAACATCAGCGCCCAAACCCCCCTCCCCGTGCCCCCCTCCAACACCCGAACCCGCACTCACCGGCCTCAGAGCCCCCCATTCCCTTCAGCACCGCGCGGCGCCCCGAGCGCTCCAGCAGCTCCCGCACCCGCTCCGCAGCCACCGTGGTCTCCACCAGCACCGACTGCGCCTCCGGCCGCAGCTCCAGCAGCCGCACGCCTGCGGGGGGCACCGGGTAACGGGGAGGGGGGCGGCTCGGAGCGGACGGACCCGCACTGGGAGCGGGGGACCGGGACTCACCGGGGGCTCCCTCCAGCGCTGCCCGCACGGCGTCTGCACAGCTCCCGCACCGCATCTGCACCGCGAACTCCAGCTGCGGGACGGGGGTCAGCACCCGTGAGGGGTCCTGCACCCCCTGAACTGCCCTGCGAGGGGTCCTGCACCCCCAAAACCGCTGTAAATGGGGCTCTGCACCCCTAGAACTGCCCTGCGAGGGGTCCTGCACCCCCAAAACCGCTGTAAATGGGGCTCTGCACCCCCAGAACTGCCCTGCGAGGGGTCCTGCACCCCCAAAACCGCTGTATATGGGGCTCTGCACCCCTAGAACTGCCCTGCGAGGGGTCCTGCACCCCCAAAACCGCTGTATATGGGGCTCTGCACCCCTAGAACTGCCCTGCGAGGGGTCCTGCACCCCCAAAACCGCTGTAAATGGGGCTCTGCACCCCTAGAACTGCTCTGCGAGGGGTCCTGCACCCCCAAAACCGCTGTAAATGGGGCTCTGCACCCCTAGAACTGCCCTGCGAGGGGTCCTGCACCCCCAAAACCGCTGTAAATGGGGCTCTGCACCCCTAGAACTGCCCTGCGAGGGGTCCTGCACCCCCAAAACCGCTGTAAATGGGGCTCTGCACCCCTGGAACTGCCCTGCGAGGGGTCCTGCACCCCAAAAACCGCTGTAAATGGGGCTCCGCACCCCTAGAACTGCCCTGCGAGGGGTCCTGCACCCCCAAAACCGCTGTAATTGGGGCTCTGCACCCCTAGAACTGCCCTGCGAGGGGTCCTGCACCCCTAAAACCGCTGTAAATGGGGCTCTGCACCCCTAGAACTGCCCTGCGAGGGGTCCTGCACCCCCAAAACCGCTGTAAATGGAGCTCTGCACCCCTAGAACTGCCCTGCGAGGCGTCCTGCACCCCCAAAACCGCTGTATATGGGGCTCTGCACCCCTAGAACTGCCCTGCGAGGGGTCCTGCACCCCAAAAACCACTGTAAATGGGGCTCTGCACCCCTAGAACTGCCCTGCGAGGGGTCCTGCACCCCCAAAACTGCTGTAATTGGGGCTCTGCACCCCTAGAACTGCCCTGCGAGGGGTCCTGTAGCCCCAAAACCGCTGTAATTGGGGCTCTGCACCCCTAGAACTGCTCTGCGACAGGTCCTGCACCCCCAAAACCGCTGTAAATGGAGCTCTGCACCCCTAGAACTGCCCTGCGAGGGGTCCTGCTCCCCCAAAACCGCTGTAAATGGGGCTCTGCACCCCTAGAACTGCTCTGCGACAGGTCCTGCACCCCCAAAACCGCTGTAAATGGAGCTCTGCACCCCTAGAACTGCCCTGCGAGGGGTCCTGCTCCCCCAAAACCGCTGTAAATGGGGCTCTGCACCCCTAGAACTGCCCTGAGAGGGGTCCTGCACCCCCAAACAGCTGTAAATGGGGCTCTGCACCCCTAGAACTGCCCTGCGAGGGGTCCTGCACCCCAAAAACCGCTGTAAGGCTCCGCACCCCACCCCGCGAGGGGTCCTGCACCCCTAGAACTGCCCTGCGAGGGGTACTGCACCCCCAAAACCGCTGTAAATGGGGCTCTGCACCCCTAGAACTGCCCTGCGAGGGGTCCTGCACCCCCAAAACCGCTGTAAATGGGGCTCTGCACCCCTAGAACTGCCCTGCGAGGGGTCCTGCACCCCCAAAACCGCTGTAAATGGGGCTCTGCACCCCTAGAACTGCCCTGTGAGGGGTCCTGCACCCCCAAAACAGCTGTAAATGGGGCTCTGCACCCCTAGAACTGCCCTGCGAGGGGTCCTGCACCCCAAAAACCGCTGTAAATGGGGCTCCGCACCCCTAGAACTGCCCTGCGAGGGGTCCTGCACCCCTAGAACTGCCCTGCGAGGGGTACTGCACCCCCAAAACCGCTGTAAATGGGGCTCTGCACCCCTAGAACTGCCCTGCGAGGGGTCCTGCACCCCCAAAACCGCTGTAAATGGGGCTCTGCACCCCTAGAACTGCCCTGTGAGGGGTCCTGCACCCCCAAAACAGCTGTAAATGGGGCTCTGCACCCCTAGAACTGCCCTGCGAGGGGCCTGCACCCCAAAAACCGCTGTAAATGGGGCTCCGCACCCCTAGAACTGCCCTGCGAGGGGTCCTGCACCCCTAGAGCTGCCCTGCGAGGGGTACTGCACCCCCAAAACCGCTGTAAATGGGGCTCTGCACCCCTAGAACTGCCCTGCGAGGGGTCCTGCACCGCCAAAACCGCTGTAAATGGGGCTCTGCACCCCTAGAACTGCCCTGCGAGGGGTCCTGCACCCCCAAAACCGCTGTAAACGGGGCTCTGCACCCCTAAAATTGCTCCTAAAGGCGTCCTGCACCCCTGAGCTGCTGTAACCGGGGCTCTGCACCCGTACAAGTGCTGTGCAAGAGGCTCTGCACTCCCAAAACCGCTGCAACCGGGGCTTGGCAACCCCTGAACTGCCCTGCGAGGGGTCCTGCACCCCCAAAACCACTGTAAATGGGGCTCTGCACTCCTAGAACTGCCCTGCGAGGGGTCCTGCAGCCCCTGAACTGCTGTAAATGCGGCTCTGCACTCCCAGAACTGCTGTGCAAGGGGTCCTGCACCCCCTAAACCATCCTGCAATGGGTCCTGCCCGCCCCGAACTGCTGTAACCGGGGCTCTGCACCCCTGAAACTGCTCTGGAAGGAGCCCTGCAGCACTGGAACTGCCCTGACAGGGGCTTTACACACCCAAAACTGCTGCAACCGGGGCTTTGCATCCCCTGAACTGCACTGAAAGACGTCTTGCACATCAAAACGGCCCTGAAAGGGGTCCTGCACCCCGTGAACTGCTGTAACCGGGGCGCTGCACCCCAAAACTGCTGCGCAAGAGGCTCTGCACCCCCAAAGCTCCTGTAACGGGGGGCTCTGCACCCCCAACCCCCGTGGCCCGGACGCTGCGCCCCCAAGCCCGGCTCCCGGGGTCCTTCACCCCAGCCCCGCATCCCCGGAGCGGCTCTGACCCGGCAGCTGCTCCCGCTCGCTCCCGGTTCCGCCATGGCCGTGGACTCTGCACCCGGAACCACTCGCGAGGGCCGCTGGGGCGCCCGGACCGCCATGGCGACGGACCGGAAGTGGGTTGGTCGGAAGGGGGAAGGATTTGTCGCTAGAACCACCTCCGGCGTGCTGTCGCCATGGCAACAGCGCCGTAGGCGGCAGGGCCGCACCGAGACACGGGGGGGGCTTGGGGGGATCACGAGCGAAGGGGTCCCCATAGGGGGGTGCACAGCGCTTTTGGGGCCCTGATCCTCACCCCTCCGCCGCGGTGCTGGGCTGGGCCATGGGCGGGGACGAGAGCAAGGCCCCCTCCCCAGCGAGCGCCTGCGGCTCCAGTAGGAGGCTCCGGTTGAACCGGCAGCGACCGCCGCGGACCTGCTCCCCCACGGCCCAGGGACCCCCGGCGGCGGCAGCAGGAGCCCGGCCTCCGCTTCGATGATGACCTCGAGTTCAGCTCCGGCTTCCTCCACTGTTTCCCACCTGTGTAGTGAGGAGAAACCGGTGGGAGCCACGGAGCTGCACCGGGAGCCGGTACCGGCATCAATGGAGCCGTGTGGGAAGGGAGGTGGAAGCCGGGGCTGCCGGACCATGCACCGGTGGAGCCGGAGCAGCTGCAGAGCCGCCTGCACCGGCTCTGGGCCATGCTGGGCGTCCCGGAGCACGCGAGGCTGGCGATGGCGGTGACGTTCTGCACCGGTGAGGCCCTGGCGCTGCTGGAGGCGGCAGCCGATGGGGTCCTGCGGTGGGAGCCGCTGCTGGCCCGGCTGCAGGAGCACGGCCCCGACCCCGGCGGCGGTAACGGCGCTGGCCCGCTGCGAGGAGCGGCTCGTGGAGGCGTTCCGGTACCTACGGGAGGGCTTCGAGCATGCGGTGACGCTCCTGGACCGACCCTGCAGTGAGAAAATGCGGCGGGACGTGGTGGAGGTGCTTTACCGGCTGCAGCAGCGCCGGCGTGCCGCGGCTCTCCCTGCTGCCCTGGGGGGGGGCCTGCACCGGAACCCTAGGGGCTGAAGTGCCAGGGTGTCAATAAAGCACCAGAGGGGGTGTTGTGGGGTGTCCCCCTCTTCTGGGGGATCCCAGCACCCCCAGTCCAGGCACAACTACTCCAAAAATACATTTATTCACCCCGAAACAACAGTGATATGGGGGGGGGAAGGAGAGGTCAGAGCTGAACAGGTGGCATGGCAGCTCCTGAAGGGACAGGCACCCCCCTCTTTTTCCTTGTAGGGGACAAAGGACCCCCCTCACAACAAACAGGGGGACCCCCTTCTTGTAGGGAGCGGGGATCTCCCCCCACAGCAAAAAAGGGAAGCCCCATGTTATAGGGAATTGGGACCCCTTTCTCGCTGGGAATGGGGGGAACATTCCCCACAGCACAGGGGGAGAAAGGGGACCCCCTTCTTTATCCTTGTAGGGAATGGGGGGACACCCCTTATCGCAAACAGGGGAACTCCCATCCTTGCAAAGAATGGGGACACCCCTCTTCTAGCAGGGGATGGTGTCGGCCCCATGCAGGGGCTCCTCCCCACTCTCACGTCCCCCAGAACCAGTGGCCAACACAAAGCCAGGCTCAGGTGTCCCCAAGAGGGACAGAGCCCCCCCAGATCTTATGGGGGGGGGGGTCTCAGCCGAGCCCGTCCTTGACCTGCTGCACGATGCGCGCCCGCACGGCCCGGGCCTCGCTGGAGATGTGCCCTGGGGGTGCTGGCAGCGGGAGCTCGGGCTCAGTTTCGGGGGGGGGGCTCCCCTCGGGCAGCTCCAGGGGCATGCGCCTGCGCAGGGCGATGTTGTGCAGGATGCAGCAAGCTAAGAAGATCTGGCAGACCTTCTGGGGAGCGTACTGCAGGCACCCCCGGCCCTTGTCCAGGCAGCGGAACCGCAGCCGCAGCAGTGCCAGCGTCCGCCGCAGCGCTGCCAGCGCCTGGTGGTGCAGGGCGTTGTAGCGCTCCTCGGCCGCGCCGCGGGGTGCAGCGATCGGGGTCATCAGCCACGGCTTCAGCGGGTAGCTCCGGTCACCTGCGGGGGGGGACACGGGGGTCACACGGGTGGGGGGACCCCCATGGGGGGTGATGTGGGGTGAGGGGCTGGGGGACATCCATGTACCCGCTGGGGTTTGGGGGTTCTCTGGGTCTGAGGGTTGCATCCAGACCCTCAAGTCACCCCTGAGACCCCCCCCCCCAGGTCATCCCCAGATACTCAGGTCTCAACTGAGAGAGAAAACCCTCTGCTGGTCCCCAGACCCATAGGGCTCCCCACACTTATGCGGCTTCCCTAGACCTGCAAATCACCCCCTGTCACTGCAGACCCCAGATCATCCCTGAGACCTTCCGGTCACCCCTAAACCCCCCAGATCCCCAACCCCCCCCCGACCACCCCCTTGCCCCACACCTCACCCAGCAGCCAGGCACCATCAGGCCGAGCCCCCTCCAGCAGCCGAGCCAAGGCCGAGTTCTCCAGGACGGCGGCGTTGGGGCAAGACCCAGGGAATTTGGCCACGACGTTGGTGATGGTGCCGGCGGCGTCGCACACCACCTGCATGTTCATGGAGTGGTAGTTGCCAGCGTTCCGGTACGCGGGCTCGTTCTCGGAGGGCGCCCGCAGCGCCACGTGCATGCTGCCCACCAGGCCCAGCACCCCGGGGAAGGCACCGGCGGCCGTGCCGGTGAGCCCCGGTGTCGGGAAGGTGATGTACCGCGCCGCCCGCCGCTGCAGAGCCTCCAGGAACTGCGCCAGGCAGTTGGACATGGCCGACTGGCTGATGCCGGTGCTGTCGCGCGTGGCCGTCTGGAAGGAGCCGGACGCCAGGAAGGTGAGGGCGGACGTTACCTTGACGGCCACCGGCAGCGCGTGGCTGCGGCCCGTCAGGCTCTCCAGGTCGGCGCCCAGCTCACGGCACAGCCCCGCGATGGCGGCTTTGTCCAGCCGGTACCGCCGCAGCACCTGCTCCTCGCTCAGGTCCAGGAAGGAACAGCGCGCCCGGTACACCCGGTGCTCGGGGTAGAACCGGCGGCGACGGCCCCGCTTGCGGCGGGGTGATGGGAGCAGGCCGGGCCCCCCAACGGGACCGGCCGGGGCCGCCTCCCCTGCCCCGCCACTGCGCTCCCGCACACGCCGCAGCAGCAGCACCGAGTCCGACATGGCCCGGGGCGGGGCCAAGGCGGGAGGGGCGGGGCTAAGGGCCGAAAGCGAATGGGTGCTGCGTAGAGAGGGGCGTGGCCCTAGGGGGCTGTGTCTATGAAAAGGGGCGTGACATCGGTTAAAGAGACGGCGCGCTAAAAAAGGGGGCGTGGTTTGGTGGGGCGGGGCCTATCGGAGAGGAAGGGCTCCGATGGAAAAGGGGCGGGGCAGAGTCCGGGGGGTCCCGTTCCGGTCCCAGTCGCGCCCCGGTAGTGGCGGGGCCGCGGGTCCCGGTCAGGGCGCGTACTCCCGGTGAGCCCCGCGTGCCCCCGCTGCCTGCGCGCTCCGCCCGGCCCCGGCCCCGGTCCCGCTGACCCCGCTCCTCCGCTGCGGCCGCTCCGACCCCGCCGGGCTCCGCAGCAATGCCAGGCCAAAGCCCCGCCCCCCCGCCGCGATTGGCCACCGTTGCCGTCACGTGCTAGGAAAAGCCCCGCCTCCGGCGGGCCGAGACACGCGATTGGCAGGCAGGGTGGGCAGGCGCGCACCGACGGTGACGTCATCCGGAGCGGCATCTCCGCGGAGCCCCGCTGCGGCTCGGCCAATCGTTTGGCTCTATCCGAACCATCTCCGCCAATCAACATGCGAGGTGGGCGGGACGAGGAGCGAAGGTGGAGTCGGGGCAGTCGCCATTTTGTCGCCGTCACCGTCCCGCCGAGGGGGAGCGCGGGGCCGCGGTGAGAGCCGGGACGGGGCCGGGGGGAGCGGGGCGGGAGCCGGGGCCTCGGGGAGGGGGGGTTCAAGCTCCGGGGTGCCCAGGGGCGTCCGTCGGGATCCCGGGCCCTGCGGTGCCTCCCGCCCGGTGCGAGCAGCGGAGGGTCCCGGCCTGAGGCGGGAGCTCGGTGGAGCCACCCGGTGAGACGCGGCCCCCCCCATCGTGTCAGGGTGTTCGAGATGGTGAAGCTGTTCATCGGGAACCTGCCGCGGGAGGCGACGGAGCAGGAGATCCGCGCCCTGTTCGAGCAGTACGGGAAGGTGCTGGAGTGCGACATCATCAAGAACTACGGCTTCGTGCACATCGAGGACAAGACGGCGGCCGAGGACGCCATCCGGAACCTGCACCACCACAAGCTGCACGGCGTCTGCATCAACGTGGAGGCCAGCAAGAACAAGAGCAAGGCCTCCACCAAGCTGCACGTGGGCAACATCAGCCCCGCCTGCACCAACCTGGAGCTGCGGGCCAAGTTCGAGGAGTACGGCCCCGTCATCGAGTGCGACATCGTCAAGGATTACGCCTTCGTGCACATGGAGCGGGCGGAGGACGCGGTGGAGGCCATCCGCGGGCTGGACAACACCGAGTTCCAAGGTGATCCGGGCTGGGAGCGCCGGGCTGAGCCCGGGGGAAGCGGGGTCGGGTGGGAGCGGAGCGGGCAGGGGGCGCTCCCGCTCTGGGGTTGCTCCGCGAGGGGTTTCCATGGACACGGAGCTTGATCCGCGCCGCCGCTCCCCAGGCGGTGCCTGAAGCCGTGAGGGGAAAGCGGCTCCCGGCGGGCGAGCGTCCGATGTGCGGCTGCAGGGAGCGCCATGGCCCAGCCCCGGTGTTCGCGCTGTCCCCGGGGCTGCTGTCCTGGGGCTCGGCCTCGCTGTGTTTTGTAGGGAAAAGAGGAGATTCGTCCACAAAAGGGCCCGTTGGGTGCCAGTTCTGCAGCCAGGGCCTTGTGGTGCAGCCAGGACCTGCAGGGCTGTTTGTGCCGCCTCAGGCTGGCAATGCGGGGCGAGAAAAAGGGGGGTAGAGGGCAAATTGGAGCCAGGGAAGCGCAGGCAGCACCGGTGCTGGGCGGACAGTGCCCAGCAGTGCTGCATTGGAGTGTTCCGTGTCCGGGTGCTGCCGGCGCAGCTCATGGTGACCCCCTGGATGTGGCTCCCTCCCTGCCCGCAGTGGTGTCGGGATTCAGGGACATGGCGCCGGCCGCGCTCCTGGTGCTGGGGTTAACGGGAGCCTCTCCCCTCTCGCGTCTCTCTCCTCAAGGCAAGCGGATGCGCGTGCAGCTCTCCACCAGCCGCCTGCGGACGGCGCCCGGGATGGGAGACAAGAGCGGCTGCTACCGCTGCGGGAAGGAAGGGCACTGGTCTAAGGAGTGCCCGGTAGATCGCCCGGGGCAAGTGGCGGACTTTGCCGAGGCCTATAACGAGCAGTACGGAGCCGTGCGCACTCCCTACACCGCGGGCTATGGGGAGACCGTGTATTACGATGAGGCCTACGGCGGGATGGCCGACTACTACAAGCGCTACCGCGTCCGCTCCTACGCCACGGCCTCTGCGTACGACGCCTACGCGGAGCAGACCATGGCCCAGTACTCCCAGTATGCCCAGTACTCCCAGGTCCAGTCCTCGGCCATGGCCGCCACCACAGCCATGGCCAGTCGCATCCCCACCACCTTAGACGCGTACGATAGAGCTCTGCTGCCGACCCCGAGCGCGGCGGCCGCCGTCGCCGCCGCTGCCGCCACCGCTGCCGCGGCGGCCGCCTCCTCCACCTATTACACCCGGGATAGAAGCCCCCTGCGCCGCACGGCCGCTGCGGCCACCACCGTCGGAGAGGCGTACACGTACGAGCGTGGGCAGCTGTCGCCGGTCTCCTCGGTGGCCCGGGCCTCCCTCTACGACCTGCAGCGGTTCGAGCGGGACCCCTATGGGGAGCGAGCGCGGTACTCTGCCTTTTGAGCCATAGGTGAGCGCCGCAGGAGCCCCGGTGCTACCGACGGCGGAGCTCGGCTCCCACCCGCTGCTGCCAGCGTTCACTGGGGACGCTCGGTGGATACCGGGCACCGCGGCGGCCGTCAGGGCCTGTCCAGTGGTGCCGGTGCTGGCCGGTAACGGCTCTTCCCCCGGCAGGAGGCACCGCCGCGGTGGAGCACCGCGGAGCATTGGGGATGCGCCGCTGCTGCCGGAGCCCCCCTCCCTGGGACGCCGCCGCGTCAGGTCAGACGTGTCCCGGGCCGCCGCCGCCGTCACCGCCACCACCGCGCTCCCTCTCCCGTCACCGGGGCCGCGGGGGGGAGAACGCGGACCCCCCCCTCCTCTCGCACCGGAGCGGGCGTCGTCGCCACCGTCACCGCCGCGTCCCCGTCTGTCCGACCGTTCCGCCCCCAGCTCCGCCGGAGGCCCCGGCCCCCCTCTCACCTCTCTGCTCTCTTCCAGGTCCGGCAGCCTCGGACGGAGCCCGTGAGCCCCCTTTTTGTACGGAGATTCCCCCTCACCCCCCCTGGGGCTTTGCTGCCCCTTCCCTATGGATGGGGACCCCCCCATACCCCCCTTTCCCTCCAGGGGGGTCCCCCCTCACCCTTTTCCCCCCATTTTCCAGCAAAATAAAGGTTTTCACTGACTCTCCTTGTCCGCTTGGTCTTTTCGGGGGGGTGGGGGCGGGGGTCACCTCAGGACAAGCCTTAGGTTGGGGACCCCCTTCCATGCGGAACCATCGTGGCCGCTCAGGGGAGCCACTCGGCCCCGTTTCGGTCTCGGACCCTTTTCTGCGCCCGCGCTCTTTTGTTTCCGCCCGGACTCTCGTTGCCGTTCAGGCTCCTGCGTCGTGACGTCACTTCCGGCGCGTCGCCGTCTCCTCAGCGACCATGGCGCTGAACGCGGGTGCGGGCGCCTGCGACCGCGCCCCCCCCCCTCCCCTCGGGACCCTCCCGTTCCCCCCCCCCCTTCCTTCCCCCTCCCCGGGACCCTCCCGTTTTCCCCCCCTTCCCCTCCCCTCCCCCCCCGTTGTCTCCGGTAACCGGTTTCCCCTCCTTTATCCGTGTCCCGCAGGCGCGGAGCCGGCCCCGGCCGCGGCGGAGCTGGAGGCCCGGCGGGAGCGGCAGGAGTGGGTCAGCCGCGCCATGGGGCAGCTGCTGCTGCGGGGGTACCGGATGCTGGGCCGGTGCTGCCCCCACTGCGGGGTGCGCGATGGGGTGAACCGGCGTGGGGGGCAGCGTGTACGGGGCTGGGAACCGGGTTATGGGGTGGGAATGGAACCTGTGGGGGTGTGATCGAGGCTGTGGGGCTGGGTTGGGCGCTGTGGGGCTGGATCGGGGTCTGTGGGGCTGGGTTGGGGTCTGTGGGGCTGGAGTCGGGGCTGTGGGGCTGGATTGGGGTCTGTGGGGCTGGATTGGGGTCTGTGGGGCTGGATCGGGGTCTGTGGGGCTGGGTTGGGGGCTGTGGGGCTGGATTCGGGGCTGTGGGGCTGGCTTGGGGTCTGTGGAGCTGGATTCGGGGCTGTGGGGCTGGGTTCGAGGCTGTGGGGCTGGATTCGGGGCTGTGGGGCTGGGTTTGGAGCTTTGGGGCTGGATTCGGGGCTGTGGGGCTGGATTCGGGGCTATGGGGCTGGATTCGGAGCTGTGGGGCTGGGTTTTTGGCTCTAGGGCGGGACTGTGGTTGGGGCTGTGGGGCTGGGAGTGGGGCTATGGGGCTGCCGAGGCTGTACTGACTCCCCCCTTTGCCATGTGCCCCTCTTCCACCCCCCTCCAGACCATCCTGCTGCAGGACAAGGACCAGAAGCTCCATTGCGTGTCCTGCCAGGACCGGGACTTCGATGGCAGCCCTGGTGGGGCTGGGAATGGGGCTGGGAATGGGGCTGATGGAGCCAGGGATGGGGATGGGAGGCTGGGAATGGAGCTGGGAATGGGGCTGATGGAGCCAGGGATGGGGATGGGAGGCTGGGAATGGAGCTGGGAATGGGGCTGATGGAGCCAGGGACAGGAATGGGGGAGTGGGGATGGAGCTGGGAATGGGGCTGATGGAGCCAGGGATGGGGATGGGAGGCTGAGAATGGGGCTGATGGGGCTAGGGACAGGAATGGGAGGCTGGGAATGGAGCTGGGAATGGGGCTGATGGAGCCAGGGATGGGGATGGGAGGCTGGGAATAGGGGTGGGGATGGAGCTGGTTATGAACATGGTCTGGGGATGAGGTTGATGGGGGTGGGAGGCTGAGAAAGGGGGGGTTGGGGGGCTGGGAATGATGGCTTGGGAATGGGGTCCTTTGGACAGGCTTGAGGAGCCTGGGAATGGGGCTTGGGGGGGGGTCTCACCCTTCCCTCCCTCCCGCAGCACCGGAGCCCACAACCGCCTCATCCCCACCCCCCCAGCGCCACGCGGCTCCCCCCCGGCCCGAGCACTGCGAGGGGGCCGCAACGGGGTTACGGGGAGCGCCCCCCCCCGGCCCCCCCGAGGCGGCGGCGGTGGCCTTGGCGCGCGCGGCCGTGCTGGACAAACTGGGCTGGGCTGCGCGGGAGCTGCCCCGCACCGCATCCACCGAGGGCAGCGCCCAGCTCTGCGCCCTGGTGCGCGCCTGCGCCGAGGCGCTGGGGGGGCTGCAGGCGCTCGCCCCCCCCGGCAGCCCCCCATAAACGCTCTGACAAGCGCAGCAGCCTGCCCTGCGTCCCACACCTCTTGGGGGGGGTGTTATGGAGGGGCTATGGGATAGGGGTAGATTTGGGGGTGCTGTGGGGGTGAATGTGCTGCCCTAAGGCAGCTCTATAACCCTGGAAGGGGAATCTATGGCCTGCGGGGGTGCCCTATATCAAAGCGATCACATTTATGGCCTGGGGCAGGCAAGTATAGGGCCCAGAGAGGGGAGCTCATGGCCCTTGGAGGCTGGGGGGGAATATATGATGGGGGGGGGGGGAAGGGGGGGGGGCACGGACAAAGCAGCTCCATACAGGGCCCAATGGGGCTGTATGGCCCGAGGGGGGGCGGGTCTATGGACCGGGTGGGGGGGGGGGGAAGCTCCTCCCGCCCTGCTCCGGCTTCAGTTTCCTGCCCGGGCGGGGCCGGGCCGCGCCCAGCGCGCAGGGGGGGGGGGGTTTGGGGGGGGCCGGTCCCGTTCTGTCGGTCCCGGAGCCGGGTTCGAGGCACGGGGAAAGGGGGGGGGGGGGGCAGCTCCGGAGGTGCCGGCAGCGGGACCCGAACCCGCGGCGCTGCGGGGCTGGGGGGGGGCTGGGGGGGGGGGCCATGGGGTCGGTGTGGAAGCGGCTGCAGCGCGCGGGGAAACGCGCGGCCAAGGTGCGGTTTGTGGCGACCTTCGAGGAGCTGCTGGTGGAGGGGGGCAGGAGCTGGTGAGAACGGGGGACCCCCTCCCTCCCCCCCCGGACCCCAAACCCAACCCCTCCCCCCCCGGGAACCCCCGATCCTGCGGGACCCCTCCAAAACCTTGCGGGACCTTCCAGCCCCCCCCCTTCCCCAGACCCCGGGGTTCACCCGGACCCCCCCCCCGGTACCCCCCAAAACCCGCGGGGTGTTCCAGGGATCCCCCCGGATCCCTTCCCTATGGGGGTTTTCCCCATTGGAGTTGGGCTCTTTGGGGGGTGACACCGCCAACCGCCACCCCCCCCCCACTTCCCCGGTCCCGCCCCCCCCCCGGCCGCGTTCCCGCTTTCGTTTTGAGTTAAAAATGTCCATAAATGGGGTCGGGAAACGGCGGCTCCGGGGCTAAAAATAGACCCCGGTCCCCCCCTCCCCCCCCCGCCGGGGGTATCCGGTTCCCCCCCCCCTCCCCCCGAGCACCCGCACCTGCCCATGGAGGGGGGGGGAAGTCTCGCGCCCCATGGGGTGCCCCCCCCCCGGCCCGTGGGGCGCGGCCCCGGAGGCGCTGGAACAACGTGGGGTGACTCATGGGGGGGGCAGGGCAGTGGGGGGGGCGGCTGTGGGGGGGTAGTGGGGTCTCTATAGGGCAATGGGGCTGTTACAGGGACTGGAGCAGGGCTGAGTGTAGGGGCAGCTATGGGGCTGCAGGGGGGTCAGTGTAAGGGTGCAATGAGCTTTATATAGGGGCAGCTATGGGGCTGCAGGGGGGTCAGTGTAGGGGTGCAATGAGCTTTATATAGGGGCAGCTATGGGGCTGCAGGGGGGTCAGTGTAAGGGTGCAATGAGCTTTATATAGGGGCAGCTATGGGGCTGCAGGGGGTCAGTGTGGGGGTGCAATGAGCTTTATATAGGGGCAGCTATGGGGCTGCAGGGGGGTCAGTGTGGGGGTGCAATGAGCTTTATAGGGGCAGCTATGGGGCTGCAGGGGGGTCAGTGTGGGGGTGCAATGAGCTTTATATAGGGGCAGCTATGGGGCTGCAGGGGGGTCAGTGTGGGGGTGCAATGAGCTTTATATAGGGGCAGCTATGGGGCTGCAGGGGGGTCAGTGTGGGGGTGCAATGAGCTTTATATAGGGGCAGCTATGGGGCTGCAGGGGGGTCAGTGTGGGGGTGCAATGAGCTTTATATAGGGGCAGCTATGGGGCTGCAGGGGGGTCAGTGTGGGGGTGCAATGAGCTTTATATAGGGGCAGCTATGGGGCTGCAGGGGGGTCAGTGTGGGGGTGCAATGAGCTTTATATAGGGGCAGCTATGGGGCTGCAGGGGGGGTCAGTGTGGGGGTGCAATGAAGTTTATATAGGGGCAGCTATGGGGCTGCAGGGGGGTCAGTGTGGGGGTGCAATGAGCTTTATATAGGGGCAGCTATGGGGCTGCAGGGGGTCAGTGTGGGGGTGCAATGAGCTTTATATAGGGGCAGCTATGGGGCTGCAGGGGGTCAGTGTAGGGGTGCAATGAGCTTTATATAGGGGCAGCTATGGGGCTGCAGGGGGGTCAATGTAGGGGTGCAATGAGCTTATATAGGGGCAGCTATGGGGCTGCAGGGGGGTCAGTGTAGGGGTGCAATGAGCTTTATATAGGGGCAGCTATGGGCTGCGGTGTGAGGGGTGCAATGAGCTTTATATAGGGGCAGCTATGGGGCTGCAGGGGCGTCAGTGTGGGGGTGCAATGGGCTTTATATAGGGGCAGCTATGGGGCTGCAGGGGGGTCAGTGTAGGGGTGCAATGAGCTTTATATAGGGGCAGCTATGGGGCTGCAGGGGGGTCAGTGTAGGGGTGCAATGAGCTTTATATAGGGGCAGCTATGGGGCTGCAGGGGGGTCATTGTAGGGGTGCCATGAGCTTTATATAGGGGCTGCTATAGGGGTACAAGAGAGTATTGGGGTGCAGTGGGGTCTGTATAGGGGCTGAAAGGGGGACAGTATTGGGGTGCAGTGTAATGGTGCCATGGGGTCTGTATAGGGTGCCACCATAGGGCTCCAAAGGGGTCAATATAGGGGTGCAGGGTAACAGCTATAGGGGTGCAAAGGGGTCTGTATAGGGGCTGCTATAGGGGCCGTTACGGAGCCGTTGCCGTTATCTATGGGGCGGCCCCACAGCCCCACCCCGCACCCACGGGGCAGGAGGAGCCGCCCCACGCCCTGAGAGGGGCCTGGGGGGTGCCCCATAGGACGGGGGAGGGGGGGGTCCCCCCATCCCTGACCCCCCCGCCCCCCCCAGGCAGCCCGACAAGCTCACGGTGGTGTGGACCAGGCGCAACCGGAGGGTCTGCTCCAAGGTGGGCTGGGGCTTCCATAGGGATCTATGGGGCCGGGCGATCGGTGGGGCCGGGGGGAAGGGGGTGATTGGGGTTCTCGGGGGGGGGGGGCGGTCTATGGGGTTGGGGGGGTCCATGGGGTGGGGGAGTTTGTGGGTGTCTGAGTGGGGGGTTCTTGGGGGGTCTATGGGGGGTCTATGGGGGGGTGTTGGGGTCTGACGGGGGGTGCAGCCCCACAGCTGGCAGCCGGGCATCGAGAACCCCTACCGGGGCATGGTGGTCTGGGTGGTCCCCGAGAGCATCGAGGTGGTCGTCACCCTCTACCGGGTGCGTGTGTGCCCCCCCCCCCACCCCGTGTCCCCTCCTCTGGGGTCCCCACTCGTGTCCCCCCCCCCCCCTCACCCTGTGCTCATGGGACCCCCAGGACCCCCACGCCTCCACCTACGATGACAAGGAATGGAGCTTCCTCATCGAGAACGTGAGTCCCCATGGGGGGGGACCCTTGCGGGATGGGGGTCCCATAATGGAGGGGGGACCCTTGGGGGGGTCCTTGTTGGAGATGGGGATCCCCTGTTGGGGTTCCCATGGGAGATGAGCATCCCCTGGGTGATGGGGTCTGGATGGGGGTCCCCTATTAGGGATCCTCTGGGGCACATGGGGGTCCCATGGGGATGGGGTCCTATTGGGGGTCCCTCATTTGGGGTCCCCTGTTGGGGTCCCCCGGGTGATTGGCTCCTATTGGGGTTCCCCATTGTGTCTCCTATTGGGTTTCCTCTATTGGGGTCCCCCGGGTGATGGGCTCCTACTGGGGTTCTCCATTGTGGCTCCTATTGGGGTTCCCCATTGTGTCTCCTATTGGGGCTCCCCCATTGGGGTCCCCCGGGTGATGGGCTGCTATTGGGGTTCCCCATTGTGGCTCCTATTGGGGCTCCCCCATTGGGGACCCCAGCTGATGGGCTCCTATTGGGGTTCCCCATTGTGGCTCCTATTGGCGGTGCCCCATTGGGGTCCCCCGGGTGATGGGCTGCTATTGGGGTTCCCCATTGTGTCTCCTATTGGCGGTGCCCCATTGGGGTCCCCCAGCTGATGGGTTCCTATTGGGGTTCCCCATTGTGGCTCCTATTGGGGCTCCCCCATTGGGGTCCCCGGGGTAATGGGCTCCTATTGGGGTTCCCCATTGTGTCTCCTATTGGGGTTCCCCATTGTGGCTCCTATTGGGGCTCCCCCATTGGGGTCCCCGGGGTGATGGGCTGCTATTGGGGTTCCCCATTGTGTCTCCTATTGGGGTTCCCCATTGTGGCTCCTATTGGGGTTCCCCCATTGGGGTCCCCCAAGTGATGGGCTCCTATTGGGGCTCCCCCATTGGGGTCCCCCAAGTGATGGGCTCCTATTGGGGCTCCCCCATTGGGGTCCCCGGGTAATGGGCTGCTATTGGGGTTCCCCCTTGTGTCTCCTGTTGGGGTCCCCCATTGTGTCTCCTATTGGGGTTCCCCATTGGGGTCCCCCCTTGTGTCTCCTGTTGGGGCTCCCCATTGGGTTCCCCTCTGACCCCCCCTCCCGCAGGAGTCCCGGGGCCGCCGCTCCGTGGTGGCGGGGGCGCCGCTGGACCTGGGCCGCCTCGGGGGGGCGGCGGCAGCGGCGGGGGGGGGGCCCCTGGCCCTGGCCCTGTCCCTGCGGCCCCGCTCCCGCCGCGTGGCGGCCGCGAACCTGAGGCTGCGGCTGAGCGCGAGCGTCCTGCGGGAGGGGCACCCGACGTGAGCGGGGAGGGGGCAGCGGGGGGGGTCAGTGGGGGGGATGGGGGGCATGGGGAACATGGGGGACATGGGGGCTGGGGACATGGGGGTCACTATGGGGGCCTGGGGGATATGGGGGACACTATGGGGGACATGGGGGCCTGGGGCATTGGGGGCTGGGGACATGGGGGTCACTATGGGGGGCTGGGGGACATGGGGGGCTGGGGACATGGGGGTCACTATGGGGGCATGGGGGACATGGGGGCTGGGGACATGGGGGTCACTGGGGGCTGGGGGACATGGGGTGGGGGACATGGGGGTCACTATGGGGGGCTGGGGGACATGGGGGTCACTATGGGGGGCTGGGGGACATGGGGGGCTGGGGGACATGGGGGCCTGGGGACATGGGGGGCTGGGGACATGGGGGTCACTATGGGGGGCTGGGGGACATGGGGGGCTGAGGACATGGGGGGCTGGGGACATGGGGGGCTGGGGACATGGGGGTCACTGGGGGGCTGGGGGACATGGGGGTCACTATGGGGGGCTGGGGGACATGGGGGTCACTATGGGGGGCTGGGGGACATGGGGGGCTGGGGACATGGGGGGCTGGGGACATGGGGGTCACTATGGGGGGCTGGGGGACATGGGGGTCACTATGGGGGGCTGGGGGACATGGGGGTCACTATGGGGGCTGGGTCATATGGGGGGCTGGGGACATGGGGGTCACTATGGGGGGCTGGGGGACATGGGGGGCTGGGGACATGGGGGTCACTATGGGGGGCTGGGGGACATGGGGCCTGGGGGACACCGGGACAACTATGGGGGACATGGGGGTCACTATGGGGGACTGGGGGATATGGGGGACACTATGGGGGCTTGGGGACATGGGGGTCACTATGGGGGACATGGGGGGCTTGGGGGACATGGGATCACTATGGGGGACTTGGGGACATGGGGGGGCTGGGGGATATGGGGGACACTATGGGGGACTGGGGGACATGGGGGACTGGGGACATGGGGGACATGGGCTGGGGGACATGGGGGGCTGGAGGACACTGGGAGGCTTGGGGACATGGGGGGCTGGGGGTCACTATGGGGGCTTGGGGACATGGGGGACACTATGGGGGGCTTGGGGACATTGGGAGACATTATGGGGGCTTGGGGGTATAGGGACACTGTGGGGACACTATGGAGGGCTTGGGGATATGGGGGATGCTATGGGGGACTTGGGGGACACTGTGGCGATGTGGGGTGGGGGCTTGGGGCCATTGGGGGATCGTGGGGGCATCATGAGGGTGCTTGGAGCCAAGGGGCCATGGAGGGGGCATGGAAGGGGTGTGGGGGACATGGGCAGGGGTGGGTGGCATCGAGGATCTTTGGGCTGTGGGGACATGAGGGACCCATGGGGGACCCGGGGGCGATACTGGGGGGGTGTCGCCATTGGGGTCAAGGGAGGGCGTTGGGATGGGGACATGGGGGGGACACTGGGGTTAAGGGGGGGAGGTTGGGGGTGGATCCGGGGACCCATTGGTGCTGCAGAGGGTGGCAGCAGAGGGGCCACGTGTGCTGAGGTGTGGGCCATGTGTGTGCCACGTGTGTGCCATGCATGTCACGTGTGTGCCATGCGTGTCACATGTGTGTGCCATGTGTGTCACATGTGTGTGCCATGCGTGTGCCGTGTGTGTCACATGTGTGTGCCATGTGTGTCACATGTGTGCTGTATCATGCATTTGCCGTGTGTGCCATGCGTGCGCCATGCGCGTGCCATGTGTGTCACATGCGTGTCACATGTGTGTGCCGTGTGTGTCATGCATTTGCCATGTGTGCCATGTATGTCACATGTGTGTGCCATGTATGTCACATGTGTGTGCCATGTGTCACATGTGTGTCGTGTGTGTCATGCATTTGCCATGTGTGCCCTGTGTGTCACATGTGTGTGCCATGTGTGCCATGTGTGTGCCATGTATGTCACATGTGTGTGCCATGCGTGTCACGTGTGTGTCACGTGTGCGCCACGCGTGTGCAGGGACGAGGACATGCAGAGCGTCGCGAGCCTGCTGAGCCGCCCGGGGGACGTGGCCGACCTGGGTGACTTCGAGAGCGACCCCGAGGAGGAGGAGGAGCCGCGAGGGGCCCCTGCCCCAGCCCCCCGAGGTGGCCCCATCCGCCCCCCAACACCCCCCATCAGCCCCCAACACCCCCATCAGCCCCCCATCAGCCCCCCATTGCCCCCCAACAGCCCCTCATCAGCCCCCAAACACCCCCCCCTAACACCCCCCCATCAGCTCCCCAATGCCCCCCATCAGCCCACCAACACCCCCCAACACCCCCCATCAGCCCCCCAAAACCCCCTCATCAACCCCCTAACACCCCCAACACCCCCCATCAGCCCCCCGTTGCTCCCCAACACCCCCTCATCAGCCCCCCAACACCCCCCATTGCCCCTCAACAGCCCCCCAACACCCTCCCATCTACACACCCCCATCCCCCCCCATCACCTTCCTATCACTGTTTCCCCCCCCCACTGCCATGGGGTTGCCCTGACCCCCCCCCCCCCCCCGTACCCCAGAGTCCCCCCGGGAGCTGCAGGCGCTGCCTGAAGAGGAGGAGGTGGAGGAAGAGCCCAAGGCCCCTCCCCCGCGCACAGGTGGGTTTTGGGGGGCTGGGGGGGATCAGGACTCTCAGCCCCCCCCCCAGGTGTCCCTGACCTGTGCCTCCTGCAGGCCCCCCCATAAAGGAGGGTGATTGTGGGGATCCCCCCACACTGGGGGTACAAAGGGACCCCCCCGGCCCTGGGGGTGAACAAACCCCCCCCCAAGAGATGGACGTGGTGAGTGGGGCTGGGGCGTCTGGGGTCACCTTGGGGGGTCTGGGGTCACCTTGGGGGGTCTGGGGTCACCTTGGGGGCTTGGGCACCCCCTATGGGGGGTCCTCTATGGATGGGAGCAGGGGGCTCAGTGACCACGGGAATGGGGGGGATCCCCTATGATCTGGGGGTTCACCATTGCTGGGGGGTGTTTGGGGTCCCCATCCCTGCCGGGGGGGCCCCATAGGGGGTGGGGACACCCCCATGCACCCATCCCTGGTGGGGGGCGGTCCCATAGGGGCTGGGGGGGTCCCATAGGGGCTGGGGTCACCCCATGCACCCATCCCTGGTGGGGGGGGTCTCATAGTGGCTTGGGTCACCCCCTGCACCCATCCCATAGGGGCTGGGGGGGTTCCTATAGGGGCTGGGGTCACCCCATGCACCCATCCCATAGGGGCTCCGGGGGGGTCCCATAGGGGCTGGGGTCACCCCATGCACCCATCTCATAGGGGCTGGGGGGGGTCCCATAGGGGCCGGAGGGGTCCCATAGGGGCTGGGGTCACCCCCTGCACCCATCCCTGGTGGGGGGGTCCCATAGAGGCTGGGGTCACCCCCTGCACCCATCCCATAGGGGCCCGGGGGGGTCCCATAGGGGTTGGGGTTACCCCATGCACCCATCCCATAGGGGCCGGGGGGGGTCCCATAGGGGCTGGGGTCACCCCATGCACCCATCCCATAGGAGCCAGGGGGGTCCCATAGGGGCTGGGGTCACCCCATGCACCCATCCCATAGGGGCTGGGGGGGGTCCCATAGGGGCCGGAGGGGTCCCATAGGGGCTGGGGTCACCCCCTGCACCCATCCCTGGTGGGGGGGTCCCATAGGGGCTGGGGTCACCCCCTGCACCCATCCCTGGTGGGGGGTCCCACAGGGGCCGGGGGGGTCCCACCGGGTCCGGGGGGGTCCCATAGGGGCCGGGGGGGTCCCACCGGGTCCGTGGGGGGTGCGGGTCCTGACGCGCCGCCAGCCCCCCCCCGGGGGCAGCGGGGCGCTGCTGCGCTGGTGCCAGGCGGCCACGGGCGGGTACCGCGGGGTCCGCGTCACCAACTTCAGCACCTCCTGGCGCAGCGGCCTCGCGTTCTGCGCCCTCCTGCACCGGCACCGGCCCGAGCTCATGTGAGGGGGGGACACGGGGGGTATGGGGGGTATGGGGGGATATGGGGATGGAGACATGGGGGGGATATAGGGATGGAGACATGGGGGGTATGGGGGGGATATGGGGGATATGGGGGGGATATGGGGATGGAGACATGGGGGGATATGGGGGGGATATGGGGGGGATATGGGGAGGTTATGGGGATGGCGACATGGGGGGGTATGGGGGGGATATGGGGGGGGATATGGGGATGGAGACATAGGGGGGATATGGGGGGGGTATGGGGATGGAGGCATGGGGGGTTAATGGGGGGATATGGGGGGGCATGGGGGGGGATATGGGGATGGAAACATGGGGGGGATATGGGGGGATATGGGGATGGAGACATGGGGGGATATGGGGGGTATGGGGGGGATATGGGGATGGAGACATGGGGGGGACAGGGGGATGGGGACATGAGGAAGACATGGGGGAGACACAGGGATGGGATGTCCTAGGGGTATGGGGGTGTATGGGGGTGATACAGGGATGGAGACATGAGGGGAACAGGGGGATGGGGCATCCTGGGGACACTGGGATGTGGGATGGGGACACCCTGAAGAGAGGAAGGGGACACTCGGGGATGGGGACAGTGGTGGGGGGATAAGGACTTGGGATGGGGGTCCCGTGGGACATGGGCATCACCCGGGAGCACCCGGAGACATGGGGGGGGTCACCCTGGGGATGGGGGATGTGACCCTGGGGACAGGGGGGGGACATGGAAGGGATCCCTGGGGGTGTGGAGAAGGACCTGGGAGTACCCTGGGGACATGGAGAGCGATGGGGCTGGAGGGGGGGGAACCCTGGGGGACCCCCAAAGGAACCAATCTCCCCCCATCCTCCCCCCCCCCAGTGACTACGAGGCTCTGGACCCCCTCGACATCCGGGGCAACAACAAACTGGTGCGTGGGGGGAGGGGGGGTGTTGGGGTGCGGGGCGGGGGGGCCCGGTTCCGGGGTCCCCTCCCCCCCATTGTGTGTGTGCCCCTCCCCCCAGGCCTTCGATGCCTTCTCCGCGCTGGGGGTGCCGCGGCTCCTGGACCCCGCGGACCTGGCGCTGCCGCCGGTACCGGACCGGCTGGGGGTCATGACCTACCTGAGCCAAGTGCGGGCCCGGCTGCAGGAGCCCCCCCCCGGCACCGCGCAGGGGGGGCCCCCGTGGGCACCCCCGGACCCACAGCTCGGGGCCGTTAAGGGGGAGCCCCCATTGACACCCCCGGACACACAGCTCGGGGCCGTTAAGGGGGAGCCCCCATTGACACCCCCGGACCCACAGCTCGGGGCCGTTAAGGGGGAGCCCCCATTGACACCCCCAGACCCACAGCTCGGGGCCGTTAAGGGGGAGCCCCCATTGACACCCCCGGACCCACAGCTCGGGGCCGTTAAGGGGGAGCCCCCATTGACACCCCCAAACCCACAGCTCGGGGCCGTTAAGGGGGAGCCCCCATTGACACCCCCGGACACACAGCTCGGGGCCGTTAAGGGGGAGCCCCCATTGACACCCCCAAACCCACAGCTCGGGGCCGTTAAGGGGGAGCCCCCATTGACACCCCCGGACACACAGCTCGGGGCCGTTAAGGGGGAGCCCCCATTGACACCCCCGGACACACAGCCTGGCTCCCTTAAGGGGGAGCCCCCATTGACACCCCCGGACACACAGCTCGGGGCCGTTAAGGGGGAGCCCCCATTGACACCCCCGGACACACAGCCTGGCTCCCTTAAGGGGGAACCCCCATTGACACCCCCACTGCCACAGCTTGGTGCCGTTAAGGGGGAGCCCCCATTGACACCACCGGACCCAAAGCTTGGGGCCGTTAAGGGGGAGCCCCCATTGACACCCCCACTGCCACAGCTCGGGGCCATTAAGGGGGAAGCCCCATTGACATCCCCACTGCCACAGCTCGGGGCCGTTAAGGGGGAGCCCCCATTGATACCCCCAGACCCACAGCTTGGTGCCATTAAGGGGGAGCCCCCATTGATACCCCCAGACCCACAGCTTGGTGCCATTAAGGGGGAGCCCCCATTGACACCTCCGGACTCACAGCCTGGCTCCCTTAAGGGAGAAACCCCATTGACACCCCCACTGCCACAGCCTGGCAATGGCCAAGGGGGGCCCCCATCAACACTCCCAAACCCACAGCTTGGTGCCATTAAGGGGGAACCCCCATTGACACCCCCAGACCCACAGCTTGGTGCCATTAAGGGGGAACCCCCACTGTCACCCCCAGACCCACAGCTTGGTGCCATTAAGGGGGAGCCCCCATTGACACCCCCAGACCCACAGCTCAGCACCGCCGAGGGGGGGCACCCCTCAGAACCCCGGCTTGGTTCTGTTGAGGGGGGAGCCCCATTGACACCCCCAGACCCACAGCTCAGCCCCACTGAGGGCCACCCCCCATCAGGCTCCATTGAGAGGGGGTCTCCATTGGACTCCCAGCTTGGCTCTGGACAGGGGGGGCCCCTCTCAGTCCCCCAGTTGGGTCCTGTTAACGGGGGTGCCCCAGGCCCCCCCCCCGACCCCCAACTCAGCATCAATGAGGAGGGGTCCCCCTCAGATGCTTCCATTGAGGGGGGGCCCTCCCGGACCCCCCCAGACCCCCCGCTTGGCCCCGGCCATGGGGGCCCCCCTCCGGCCCCTGCAGTGCCAAAGGGCGCTGGTTCCGGCCCCCCCCCGGGGGTGCTGGTGCCCCCCCCGAGGCTGCACCGCGCCGGGGGGGGAGGGAGCCGCCCCCCCCCAGGAGCCGGCCCCGCGCCCCCCCCCCGCACCAGGAGCTTCTCCCATCTGCGCGACGCTGACCTCGTGCGGAGGCGGCGCCTGGAGCGGCGCGGGGACCCCCCCCGGACCCCCCCCCGGGTGAGAGACCCCCCCCAACCCCCTCGGGACCCGCCGGGGGGGGGCGGGGCTGTTATTGTAGGGTCTACCCTAATGCCCCTCCCCCAAGGGGCCGGCCCCTGACCCCCCCCTCTCCCCAGGGTGATGGGGACACCGGGACCCCCCCCGCGGCCCCCCCAGCCAGGCCCCAACCCGGTGAGTAAGGGGGGACACGGGGGGGGTCACTGCCTCGTGCCCCCCTCCCCCCCGCCTTGACCCCCGCCTTTTGTGTGTCACCCCCCGACCCCCCCGTACAGAGACCCCAGCAGAGGAGGAGACACCGGTAAAGGGGGGGACAAGGGGGGGACACGGGGTGGAGGAGACATGGGACACGTTGGGGGCACGGGAGGGATGGGGCGAGGGGACACCGGGTCCGTGTCCATGGGGGGTTGCAAGGGGGGGTCCATGGGGGCAATGAGGACACCGGGTCCGTGCCCATGGGGGGG